TCATCAGCAAATTTGAACAGGGTGCTTTGCACCCCCTCATCCAAATCACTGATGAAGATGTTGAACAGGGCGGGCCCGAGGACCGAGCCCTGCGGGACCCCACTGCCCACGTCCTTCCAGGCCGAGAAGGACCCATCCACTACCACCCTCTGGGTGCAGCTCTCTAGCCAGTTGGTGACCCATTGGACTGTGTGGGTGTCTACGCCACAGTCCCCCAGTTTCCTAATGAGAACGGGGTGAGAGACAGTGTCGAAAGCCTTCCGGAAGTCCAGGAAGACTATATCCACTGCTACCCCTGCATCCAATGATTTAGTGACCTGATCATAGAAGGCCACCAGGTTGGTCTGACATGACCTGCCACTGATGAACCCGTGCTGGTTGCCCCTGAGCATGCATTTCCCTGCTGGCCCCTCCTGGATGTGTGCCAGAATAATTTTCTCGAACAGCTAAGAGAAGAGAAGCCTCTTGCTCTGTGGGCTGCTTCTAGGCTCTTATGTATTTTACTGTTTATAGCAGATCACAGGACACCAGCTGGAGCCCAGATGAGCTGTGAGACTCTGGATCAAACCCCTGTTATAGTGCAGGCATCACCTGGGGCTGGCTAGCCCCATTCCCTAAAATTGGTCCTATTTATGTCTAGAGAAGACAAGACTTGGGAGTGGGAGGAGGACCCAGAGAATTGGTAATAGTCTTCAGATACAAAAAAGGGGTGTTATTAAAGAGAATGGAGATCAACTGTTCTTTGTATCCATGAGGACAGAACAGGAAGTGTCTAGAGCAGTACTTCTCAACCTTTTTAGATGCAAGGCACCCCTTGTTAGGCTCTGGGCACCTCTTAGAAAATGCCAGCTCTCAGTTTTCACTTAATTTTTTGACTATGGAAAAATAATAGAGCAATTTTTTCTATTGCAAAGACCTCAAAAAGAGCAGAATGGGGCAGAATGGTTTTAACACTATGAATTCTTATTGAAATCTCTGGGTCTATTGTGTGAATTGTGTTTGCACACCTAATAGTGCTTATATTGCATGGCTCCCCCCACACCCAGGAAAGATCTTAAGGCACTCCAAGGTATCAAATCCCTGGTTGAGAATCACCAGTCTAGAAAAGGATCTGGGCTCACCTTATCCTGCTCTTGGCGGTTCAGAGCCTCCAGCTTGACCCGGTCGATCTCCATCTTGGTGTTTGCAAGCTCCCGCTGGACCTCACTGAGTTTTTCTGATAGGAGATTCTTCTCCGCTTCCTTCAGGGACAAAGCCTGGAGAAGGCAGCAGGACATGAATGAAAAGCCCTCAATCCCATAGCAAGAGCTAGGAATGCTGGGAAATGGGAGGGATATGTGACTCCCCCAATCAAGACATCCACAGGACCCCTGCATACATACTCCAGGTCTACAGCGGCCTCAAGCTTCCTGGCAGCTGGCATCCTTGTGTCCTATAGCACCTCCTACCAGGGCTGGAGTAGCAGTGGGGTTTCCTACACCTAGAGCTCCTGTGCCCCTCTCCACAGAGCCTCCCACTGGCAAGGCTGTCTCTTGTCACAACCTCCCTGCTCACCTTCTGCTTGTCATTCTCCAGAAGAAGGAGGCTTTCATCCCGTTCCTGCTGCAAACTCAGCAACTCCTCAGTCAGCTCCTCTTTCTCTTCCTCATACTTTGATACCAATTTCTGCTTTTCCTGCTGCAGGAGGTTCATGGCCTCCTCTTTCTCCTCCCTCAGTGCCAGGCATAGGCTCTCCTGAGGTCAAGCAAGAGCAGAGGATAAAGGTCAGGACTGAACATGAGACAGACCTGCCTGCTCAGCTGGCCAGCTCCCATGCACAGGGATAGCCTTATGCACATGCAGGGGAGCATCCGTAATGCCCTCTTGGCAGAGCCTAGCAGCACTACAGGCCACAGATGTAAGGGAGTGTTGGCGTAGCAAAGGCACTGCAGCTTGGGAAGCTGGGCCTCCAACCAGTCCTGAGGAGAACCTTTAGGGCAAAGGATGCTAACAGGACTCACATACTTATGTCCTCCACGGCTGTAACTAGGAGCATGGCCACATGCCTGCCTGTGTGGCCTGATCTAAAGCCCATGGGAATCCCTAGAAGTCTTTCCACTGAGATCGCTGGGCACTGGATCAGAACCCCATATTACATTGTGGCAACAAGAGCCAACTGAACCTTGTTACATGGCCCAGATCTGACACACCTGTTGCTATTCCTACTCAAGTACTGAATCAAGAATCACTTCAGTCCTGTTAGTGGAGCAGCACCTGTATGAAACCAGTTTCAAAGGGGAAAGGAACCAAGCTGGCTCTCCTATAGTGCCATACTGGCTGGAAGCTTGTACAGGATGGATCTTACAGGGACAGTAGTCTTAGCCTGTCACTGAAGCTGCTAAGCAGCCCATAAGGCAGGTACCTTCATACAGTTGGTATAATTTTCCCCATTTCAAGGATTCAGATTTGGAAGCCAGCAGGGATCACTCTGATTACCTCATCTGATCTCCTGTATAACCCCAGTCAGAGGATTTCAGTAGGGGTGTCAGCCATAATCTATGATTGAGCTAGTGATTCCTTAAGAAGATGTCCCACCTTTATTTACAGAGTGGAAAATCCACCACAGGCTGGGGATGCTCTCCTGCTAGCCTGTCATTCTCCTTCGTAAAAACAGGCCTTGTTCATCATCTGATGAGGAGTTTTGATTCCCATTGAACAGGGGCTCCCTACTCCATCAGCCCTCACCTTCTCCTGCTTCAGACGCCCCAAGTTCTCCTCATGGGCCAGCTTCTGATTCTGAAGGGACCGCTGGGTCTCCACCTCCATCTGGGCCAGCTGCTGCTTTAGAGACTCCACATCTTGCTTCAGCCTGGTGTCCTGAAGCTCCAGCTCATGCCGTGCCTTTTCCACCTCCACTGTGAAACAAATCAGCCTTCCTTATGGGACTGTGAACCTCAAGGCTCTCTCCCCAGGGGCAGAGGTGCCACACTGCTGTGACTCTACTGCATGCCCTGGTTATTGGCACTAGGTGTTAGGGGACATGGTCACTGGAGTGAGCCTATTGACTGAAGCTACATAGAGGAAGAAAGGGGGTGGCAGCAAGGTTTTCTTGGTACCTTGGAGAGCCTGCTTGGCTTCAGTTGTGCTTTGCTTCTCCGCTTCCAGCAGCTCCTTTTGGGCCTCCAGCTGTGCTGCGAGCTCTTGCATTTCAAAAAGACTGTTTTCCAGCTCATCCTTTTCAGCTCTGCAACACAGTAGAAAACCATCAGGGCCAGGAAGTAAAGGTATGGCTGCCCTGGCCCCTAATGGAAGACATCAGCACATTAGTCACGTCCCTGCTGGTGGGAGTAAAAAGCACCCTGCCGGGACCATGCTGAGACAGGAGGAAACTTTAAGTGAGTAGTGGTACACTGTGTAGCTGGGGCCAAGCTTCTGTCTGAAACACTGTTTGGCTGGGTGTTTTTTTTGTTTTAAGAAATTTTTCATGTTCCAAGCCAAATCAAATCCAAATCCATGAGTCAGTCCAGAACCATAAGTGGCCCTACAACCGGCAAACATCCTTCACCCCCACCAGGGACTTCAAATATTTCCAGTCTTTTGGCAGGTATCCTATGTGCAGGCCTAAGCCTGGAGGCTTGGTGTTCAGATGCCCTAAAGTTTTGCCTGCTCTCAGTCATATGGCCGCAAGAACAAGTTAGGGAGGAGCTTCCCATTTCAATTAACTGGGCTTTAATTCCCAACACCTCGACGGGTACTAAACCATGCCAGAAGAACAGTTATCCCCAGAAGCGCTTAAGGAAAACTGCCTTCATGGACCCAGATTCCCAGGTAAGTCTGGCTGCATGTGCAGAGCATGTACAGTTGCAGGAAAGGGGTGTGCTTGGAGATTCTCCTCTTGTTTTCAGTGGTGTGTGTGTTCCCAGCAGCCATCCTGTGGCAGCTACCTATGGGACTGCTTGATGTAACACTATGCAGCCAGAATGCAGCGTGGTTGCCCGTGGTCATCATATACATATGTGTGGACAGGTGAAAGGGCTGAGGGCTGACTTGTTTCTTCCTTTGACCTCATTCAAGCTGTCAGATGCCTCTGCCTTGTGCCTTAGCTGCTGCTCATGACCAACTATCACTCTCTGCGATGGCCATGCTGATTACCATAGGCAGCCAGGTCAGCCTGACTCCCTGTGGAGAAGGGCTGTTTCTAGGCTTGTGCCATGGCAGAATGGCAACCAGAAGCTTCTGGCAGAGAGACCAGACCTACCCCTGCCACAATTCCCACCTGTCCACAAGTCAGCCCCCAGCTGCCCTCTGTTGGGTTCCCAGGGATGCTGGTACCTGAGTGTGTCTGCCTCCTCCAGAAGGCCCTTCCTCTGGCGCTCCAGCACCGTGAGCTCCACGGCCAGCCGGCCCTTCTCCTTGGTGAGCTCCTCCTTCTCCTGAAGGGCACGGAGCAGGGCATTAGCCTGTGCCTCTGTCTCCTGGCGGCTCTGGGCCAGCTGCTCTCCCAGATCCTGCTTCTGGCTGCTGACCTGGGCAGACCGGGGCAAAGAGGGAGGTGGTAAAACAAGAGCAAGGGCAGTCTGGGCCCCTTGCTGCAGCCCTGGAGCCCTCGCACTGGCTTCCCCCATTGCTGGAGAAGTGGGAAAAGAGCCCCTCTGATTCAGCTGTTCCATCCCCTATGCAGGTGGGGGCCTGGGCATGCTCTGTCCCTGCTCAGCTCTCTGCTCTGCTCTGCTCAGCTGAGCTGCTGCACCAGGAGATAATGTGCAGCGCTGGAGCAGACCACTACATCCCCAGAGCCAGGGGAGAATCAGGGCCTGGGCTCTGCCCTGCTAAGTCCCAGTTGTGTTCCTGGCCTGCTCCTGTGCCCACTGCTCCACATTGCAAAGGCCCTCAGCATGTCAGTGATGGAGCCAGGACATCTTGCCTGCCAGGGGAACCCCACCACCCAGAGCCTGCTCTCACCTGCAGCAGGTGCTCCCGCAGCTGGGCCTTGTCTCTGTGCAGCACTGCCACTTTGTCCTCCAGCCGCGCCCATCTCTCCTCCGCTACCTGGAAGCTCTGCTCCAGCCCCCTCCTTGCCACACTTGTGTGTGCCATCTCCTGTTCCTGCTGTGCCAGCTGCTCTCGCAAACTGGCTCGCTCCTGCTCCAGCTCCTGCCTCCAGTCCAGCAGTGCACTCTTCTCTTCTTCCAGCTTCACCGCACCAAAAGCCAAAGAGAAGGCCAGGGAGTCAGAGGACAGCTTTTTCAGTGTTTGTGGAGCAAAGGGCAGGGGGGACCCTTGAGGGAGGGTAAGATGATCTGCCCTCATGAGTAGGGAAAAGGACCTGCCTCACTCACCCATTGCCTATCTGGCTATGTACCCTTGGTTCTCATTAGTTCAAGCTGCTCAGCCATTTAAGTGATGTGCAGAGAGGCAGCAACAGTCTGCTCAGACCTGGAGTGATGCAGCTGAGGCCTAGCCCTATCTGATGATCCTTCCTCAAGCGGGAGGCTGGACTAGGTCCCTCCCAGTCCTATGTTTCTGTGATTCTGTCTTTAGAGTCTGCCCTGATCCCTGCCCAGCCTTCTGCCCAGCCTTCCGACACTGGATGTGAATTTCAGCTCTTGACCTTCAGCTCACTTGTCTGGCCCAGACCCCTTGGGGCAGCTTTGCTCTAACCACTGCTCCAGACTGCTGATGCCCTAGAGCTTCTACAGATCAGCACAGCTACTGGCTGCATTGGGCAGGTGCCCAGGAAAGGGGCTGGCACAATGGCTGTATGCCAATGTGCAGCACCAGGGGTCTCTGGTCACCGGGCAGAGGACAAGCCTGGAGACAGGGCACAAAGCTACTTTATCTCTGCCAAACATTTCAGCCCCAGCCACTGTGGCGTACTCTCTTCCAGGGGAAATTTTTAGTCATTCCAAAAGAAAAAGAGAAAAGTCCAAGTCAGAATGTGGCCCCTCACATTGAAATGCGTGCTGTGAATGGAAAAATGAAGGTGCCTGTCTGAAACAAACCCTTTTCATGTCATGTTCTCAGGGAAACCACACTTTCTAACTGGGGCAGGGGGGCAGCAGGAGGGAGCTATTTGACCATTTTCAAATAGGTCCAGTCATATACAGCCTGACTCCCTACTGCCGGGGGGAGAAAGGGAGTCTGCATCAGCCCTCTGCAATGTTTCCTGGATGGGATAGTTTACCCCCAACCTTAGCCCAGCCTCATGTTGTTCTGGACCTGTGGCTCCTTCCAAGCTCATTGGACTTGGAGACGAGGGAATGGACTTTGACTGGAACAAAGGGCTGTATCCATGGGCCATGCGTGTGGAGCATCAGAGCTCCGGGAAGCCTGCCACATACAGTTGAGGTGGGTCCCGGCTTGCACAGGGTCAGCAGGCCCACGTTTGAAGTCTCACTGAAGTTATAAATGTTGTTGGCATAAGCAGTGGAGCGTGGAACAGCCCTGGTCCCCCCCCATTTCAGGCCTCACTGAAATTATGAGCTCCCAGTGATTACAAGCCCTGCTGGGGTGGTGTTCACAAAACTGCAACATTTCTGGAACAGCTCAGGTTTTAGGAAAACGCAGGAAAAATGTCATGTGTTTCAGCACCTAGGGGAATCCGCTGGAGAGAGAGCATGCTGGAGAGAGAGCACTGCTCAGCTGCTCCAGAGCCATGGAGCCTCATACAACAGAAGGCAGAGCCAGAAGCCCAGTCCTGGGGGAGGGCTCCTCCAGGAAGCAGCAAGACACTCTGGCAGATAGCTCCAAGGTTAAAACTCTGCCCATAGGATTAATGGTATTGCCTTTCTCCCACCCTGTGTCTGTCTTGCCAATGCAGATCATGAGGTCTCTGAGGCAAAGACCACTTTGTGATGTGTGCCTGCAGGGGGCAGCCCTGAGCTTATGGGGCTTTTAATGGGGTTCCCTGAGGTAATGCTAGCAACTGGCAGCAGCATGTGGTGGAACAGCCTTCTGGGAGTCTTGGGGTAGCTCCATCACCAGGTGCTGTGAGTTCTGCCTCTGCAAGCCCCTTGGGCATTGGACTGCTGGTTTGTATTTAGTATAATTAATGGCCAAGTATTTTCTGTTTCCTGTGTTCTCTTTGAATGCTCCAGGAAGCACCTCTCCTGCCTGTAGCCCTCTGGCAGGACCAGATCCTATGTGTGCCAGATTGTGGAAGTGGACAGCAGGGTGGAAGGGAACCTTTTGCTGTGGGGTAGCTGGGGAATAGAAAATGCTGGAGGTGAGTATTCTAGGCAACCAGTAGTCCCCTCAGAAGCAAGGAGAGGAGAGACACACTGGAGAACAGGTTTGAAAAACCCCAGCACAGGGGCTTCAGGAAACGGCAACTGGGAAGAATATGCTTAGCCAGGCATGGGAGCTGCGTGAGGAGACGGGAGGCTCCAGGGACAGCAGCAGGTGGGAAACTGCTTCCCTCCACCCCCATGGGAATTCTTCTAGTGCAACGCATCAGCCTCAGCCAAGTGCTTGTGATGGGGCATGTGGCCATGCATTTAGCACTACCTTGCAGGGATAAATGGAAACAGCTCCTGATGCTGAAGGCTAAGTGACAGTTGACTATCAGTGGGCAGGCTGCAAGGTGTGTGATGGGCAGAGGGCAAAGAGCAGGGACTGGGTAGGCTGCAGTGGGAAGTGATAGGCATAGGGACAAAGTGCAAGGGTTGGGTTGGCTGGCAAGGGTGTGATGGGCAGAGCACAGCACAGAGCAAGGCCTGGGGGGGTTGTGATAAGAGGGACTGGCAGTGAGGCATATATGTGTGTATGGAAAAGGGGGGGAGACATGACAAACACAGGGACAGGGCACAAGTGATCCGAGTGCCAGAACTGACTGGAGGGGATGGGTGGGTGCAGAGAGAAAGTGACCTGTGAGGCCTATTACCTGCAGAATTGTGCAGTTGAGGCTGATCTTGTCCTGGGCCAGACCTTCCATGAGGGCTGCTGTCTTGCCCAGTGAGTCCTTCAGGTCAGAATTCTCCGACTTCATCTTGTTGAGAGCCAGCTCCAGCTCTGCACAATTGGTCTCTGCCTGCAGGAGAGAAGAGACATCTCAGCACTTGGCCAGAGCTTGGGAGTCTTCTAGCAAGGAGTGGAATATTCATATCCTGGGGCATTTGGGAGTTTCTGTTCAGCTCTTGTGCAGATGCAGAGTCCAACATGAGAACCCTCTGGAATAAGCCATTGGAAGGGCTTAGGAGATGATGAGTTCCCTGGTGGGAAGCTGTCTGGCTGGCTGTGGCAGCTGGTGATCCAGCTGAAATGCCGTGCAGTCAGTGGGCCTCTGCAGCCTCTGGGCCAAACCTCTAGACCTTCTGCAAGCAAAGATCCCATCCAACTCTATCAGTAAATGCCCAGTGCCTGCTGCAGTCCTTTTTCCAAAGCAAGATGTAGCCTAATGCCACAATCAGCCCCTAGGGCTGCTGTGACTTTTTCTACTGATGGCTGTATCAAACAGGCAGCAAGGCTTTGCTCACAAGGACACTGTTATACACTCCCTGTTGCAGGGCCCACTCAAGCACATTTGAAATTCTTAGCTAAGCCAATGGCATTGCTGCATCAAGAATTCTTGCCTGGGGACCTAAGAGGGCAAGATGCAAGTATCCCCTCCACCCCTGTAATTCATGATGAGACAGACAGGATCAGTGTGCCAGAAGGGCTGGCCTCTGGAGCTCATCTCCCCAGTACTACTCAGTGCTATCAGTTACACCTGCCCAACCTGATGCTGGAGCCCCGTGTTGCACCTGCTATCCTGCAGCCAGTTGAGCAATGCCTGCTGAATCTCTGCATGGATCACACTGTGTTTCAGCAACTGTAAAGCAAGTCTGGAGCCCTGCATGACATTACTCATGTGGGGTGGGGTGATGTGTCAGTGCTATTATGGCTTTAATATCCTATCCCACCCAGTCTATTCTCAGCTCACTGCCATTCACTTCCCAGGATTTACTGGAAGAATGAACATGTTGCTCAGTGAGGAAGAGATCAATTCTGGCCTGGTTTACTTTTGTCTGGGAAATAACAGGTTGGTCAGGCTGGTCAAAGATGGAGCTGAAGAGGCCTAGCCTGGGTTTTTCCCTGCTGCAGGGCAGTGCCATTGCTATGTCTCAACCAGCAGTACGGTGAGAAAAAGTAAGCCTCCACAAATGTTGCCGGGCTGAAGGCTGGGCATCTTCAGCTCTAGATACAACTTTCTCTGCTGATTCTGCTGGTCTCCAAGAAAAAATGTAGTTTCGGGACCCAACTTCATGCCAGCTGTCTTCAATGGACATTGGGTCGTGGCTGGGAGGATGGGTGTGTGGGGTGGGGGAAGCATGTTATTTCCAAGAAAGGAAATGAGCTTTTAAGGCATTTTCTATTGTGAAATAGCAGCTCTTGATGATGGCCTGCCAAACTCTGGCAGCTCACCCATCACACTTCAAGCCTCCACGCAGGCCCCTGTGCTCCTGGCACTGATAGATGTGTGAGAATTAAATGCAGCTTGGCAAGGGCTGGGTGTCCCAGGAGTGTCATCAGGTTGACTCAGCTGGTGTCACTTTGGTCTTCAGGATAGAGTGTGGGAAGGAGTTTCAAAAGAGCATAAGTGACGCAGGAGCACAAACCCCAGTGAAATCAGTGGGGCTGGCAACCTATATCCAGGAGGTGCTTTGGGAAACTCTAACCCTGCTGACTCAAATCTCCAGCTTATAGTTTCATAGTAGCTAGGGTCAGGAGGGACCTGAACTGATCCTCTAGTCTTCCCCCCTGCCACAGGCAGGAATGAATGCTGGCTTCACAAGACCCCAGACAGGTGATTGTCCAACCTCCTCTTGAATTTGCCCAAGGTAGGGGCGAGGACCACCTCCCTGGGAAGCTGGTTCCAGATTTTGGCCACCCTAACTGTAAAATATTGCCTTCTGATCTCTAACCTAAACCTATTCTCCATCAGCTTATGACCATTGTTCCTCGTCACCCCAGGTAGTGCTGGGGAGAAAAGAGCTCTGCCTATTTGCTGTTGATCCCCCCCGATGAGCTTGTAGGCAGCCACCAGGTCCCCCCTCAGCCTCCTCTTGCTGAGGCTGAACAGGTTCAGGTCCTTCAGTCTCTCCTCGTAGGGCCTGTCCTGATGCCCTCTCACCAAGCGGGTGACCCTCTTCTGAACCCTCTCCAGGCTGGCCACATCCCT